GAATAGCTGAATCTTGGACTAAAACTCGCATTTTGAAGGATACTATTCAACCAAATATCCGTTGTGATAGATTTATACCAATCTCAACTTGGAAAGATGGAGAAATATTGATGCAAAGGGATCGTGCCACACAAATAGTTTCTTACCACCCAAAAGAAAAGAAGTTTGTGTACCTTGGATTTGAAGCGTCTAGGTACATCCAAGTTTTAGTTTTTACTCACTTAAGACTATCATTGGGAAAGATTTACAAGTCTCATATACTCATCCGAAGATTGACTTAGTTTAGAGATTTAATTTATTTTATCTTATGTCCTCCTGGATATTACGTTTTTTCTTCTATGTTTCTCGTGTAATCTATCTTAAGACCTGTCAACATGCTTTTAATTTATGTCAGTGTACATTCGTTTTGTTCAATTCACTACGCACTTGTCTGAATAGAACGAACTAAGGAATAAAATGTTGGCCTTATGGCTTTGTTTTAACATCTCGTACGCATCTGCAGAAACAACAGGTTTGCTTGTTTTTTGTGAACAAGTAAATGCTTTTCTGCGGAAAAAAAACATTCAGAAACTTTAGTGAATGACAGATATGGCATTCTACAAAGATCGATTGGATACATCTCGTCATCTAATGAACATATGTGTCCTAGGTAGATCGGATTACATCTTAACCATTCAACAAACAAGTGAACCAATTACTTCCACTATTGGTTTTTTACCGAATTTATTTATTCTCGATTCAAATGGAGGGAGGTGAAACTTAGGCCTCAACATAATCAGTCTGTTTAGCGGGGACAAAAAAATATTAATACTCGAGTGTTGCTTATGCATTCTGCTTTTGTGAAGTCTCTAGGCAGTATAAAGTATTGAGATCAGTAGTTAGTAATTTTGACAGACATCCACAAGTATCAGAATTGGAAGTTTTAACTGTTGGAGTTGATGAAAAAAAGGAGATATGTGGGCGAGGTTCCAGAACTTCTATGTGTATCATTTAGTAATGCTAATGTTAATGGTGTTGTGAATTGGATGAATTCAGAAAAAAAATGACAGCATTTACTCCTTTAACAGTAGGACGGAAGAGGTAAAGTCCCTATTAGCTCCGCGTGATCTGGAGACTTCATCCTCCTGCTTGATGCTAGTAGAGTTGGGAAATTTTCTACGTTTGTGTGATAGTAACGATACTCAGTATGTTGATATATGGTGGATGAAAGAGTACGGAATATCTGAATCTTTGACTAAAGATTGCATATTGAAGAATACTATTCAACATGATATCAGTAAAGAGGTTTACGATGGTTAAGGTGTACCTTGGATTTGTTGGGACTAGCTACATCCCAAGTTTTTACTCACTCAAGACTATCATTGGAGAAAGTTCTCAAGTCTCTTACACTTGTCCGAAGATTGACATAGTTTAGATATTTAATTGGTCTTATTTCCTTCTGGATATTATGTTTAACTCTATGTTTCTCGTGTAATTTAGATATAGACCTGTCGACAATTATACCCCTCAACTTTGTCATTTGGAGCTGATATACCCCTTGTTATGAAAGTGACTCATATATATCCGTACTTATAAATAAATGGCTCACATATACCCTTTTCCTCTAACGGAAATGAAAAAAAAGATAATTTTAATCTAACTTTTTATTATTTTTTTCTACAATATATAATCTCATATGAGTAAATTTAATCCGAATTTTTAACCGAACTAAGTCATTATATAAAACAATTTACCAAAGTAATACATTTTTCTAAAATTTTACAAAACTAGTATAAACGTATTTCACGATAACGTTTTAGGGTATATTTATTTTTTTAAAACTAACAGCATTAGGTTGATATACGTTACTGTAAGTAACATTTTACTTTTAAAACGTTATTTTGAGTAACGTTTTACTCCTAAAACGTTACTGTGAGTAACGTTTTAGAGTAAAACGTTACTGTGAGTAACGTATATCAATCTGACGACATCAACTTTTAAAAAATAAAATATATCCTAAAACGTTACTGTGGAATACGTTTATACTAGTTTTGTAAAATTTTGGAAAAACATATTATTTTGGTGAATGACTTTATATAATGGTTTAGTTTGGTTAAACATACTCTTTTGACTTTTTTTGTTTCAATGACTAATTTAGAATTATTATTTTGATAATCAAATTTATTTATGTTTCACTAATTTTCTTGTAAAACTTAGTAGATGACCAAACTTTTTTCTTCGAATACAAAAATCAAATTACAATATAGACAAAAAAAAATAGTTTTAATTTTTTTCTTTAAACTAAGGAATGAAAGAAAAAAAATAAAATAAGAATAAAAAACTCAAATAATTATAAGGGAAAAGAGTCTGATATACCCCTCAACTTTGTCATTTAGAGCTGATATACCCCTTGTTATGAAAGTGACTCATATATACCCCTACTTGTAAACAAATGGCTCACATATACCCTTTTCCTCTAACGGAAATGAAAAAAAAATTAATCTAAATTTTTATTATTTTTTTCTAAAAAATATAATCCCATATGAGTAAATTTAATCCTCGTCAAACATATTTTTTTGACTTTTTTTTATTTCAATGACTAATTTATAATTATTATTTTGATAATAAAATTTATTTATGTTTCACCAATATACTTGTAAAACTTATTGTAGATGACCAAATTTTTTCTTCGAATACGAAATTAAATTACTATACACACAAAAAAAATAGTTTAATTTTTTATTCTTTAAACTAAGGAATGAAAGAAAACAACAAAATAAGAATAAGAAATTTAAACAATTATAATAAAAGAAGTCAAAAAATAATTTATGTATGAAAAAAATTAAAATATACCTTGAACTTTGATAGAAGAATCATATATAGCCCTAAATAAATTTTTTTAGAATTAAAAATAATAAATATAAGTTAAAAACTATTTTTTTAAACTTTCGTTAAGTGAAAGGTATATGTGAGTCATTTTGTAACGTCAGGGGTATATGTGAGCCGTTTGTATAACAGTAAGGGCATATAGAGCCACTTTCATAATGAGGGATATACCAGCTCCAAATGATAAAGTTGAGGGGTATATCAGCTCCAAATGACAAAGTTGAGAGGTATATCAGACCATTTCCCATGTTTTTATAGATGCTTTTGAGTTATGGTAGTACAACTCTGCCTCAATAATTAAGCCGGGGATACCTTGTCCCATTTTAACGTTATTCCTTATGTTTCTATTCATTCTGCACTTGTCTGAGTAGAACGAACTAAGGAACAAAATGAGAACAGAGAAAACATGGAGGAGCTCGAGCACGAGATATGTTCATGCATTTTTGTAGCATAAGCAATACTTCATAAGCGTAAGCTATTTTCGTAATATATGGGCATTCTATAGCTATATAAAAGAGATCAATAAACGCATAGAAGCAGCAACAAAACACTACTCCACCTTTCTATGCTTTCAAGTGCAGCAGTGACCCTGAACTTGTTATCGAACTAGCCAATTTAATTACCTCCAACAGTATAATTCAAGAAGACATAAAAGAGAAAAAGGTTAATATTACCTCCATTAACATAATTAAGGAAGACATAAAGAGCAAAAAGGTAAATATTACCTCCAACAACATAATTCAGGAAGACATAAAGAGAAAAAAGGTAAATATTACATCCAACAATATAATTCAAGAAGACATAAAGAGAAAAAGGTAAATATTACCTCCAACAGTATAATTCAAGAAGACATAAAGAGAATAAAGGTAAATATTACCTCCAACAACATAATTCAGAAAGACATTAAGAGAAAAAAATAAATATTACCTCCAACAGTATAATTCAGGAAAACATAAAGAGAAAAAAAGGTAAATATTAACTCCAACAGTATAATTCAGGAAGACATAAAGAGAAAAAAAGGTAAATATTACCTCCAACGGTATAATTCAAGAAGACATAAAGAGAAAAATGTAAATATTACCTCCAACAGTATAATTCAAGAAGACATAAAGAGAATAAAGGTAAATATTACCTCCAACAATATAATTGAGGAAGACAAAAAGAGACAAGTAAATATTACCTCCAACAACATAATTCAAGAAGACATAAAGAGAAAAAAGTAAATATTACCTCCAACAACATAATTCAGGAAGACATAAAGATAAAAAATGATAAATATTACTCCAACAATATAATTCAGGAAGACATAAAAGAGACAGAAATAAATATTACCTCCAACAACATAATTCAGGAAGACATAAAGATAAAAAAAATGGTAAATATTACCTCCGGCAGTATAATTCAGGAATATTACCTCCAACAACATAATTCAGGAAGACATAAAGATACAAAAGTAAATATTACCTCCAACAACATAATTCAGGAAGACATAAAGAGAAAAAAGTAAATATTACCTCCAACAACATAATTCAGGAAGACATAAAGAGAAAAAAGTAAATATTATCTCCATCAACATAATTCAGGAAGACATAAAGATAAAAAATAACAGTATAATTTAGGAAGACATAAAGAGACAAAAGGTAAATATTATCTACAACAACATAATTCAGGAAGATATAAAAAGAAAAAAGTAAATATTACCTCCAATAAGATAATTCTGGAAGACATAAAGTGAAAAAAGTAAATATTACCTCCAACAACATAATTCAGGAAGACATAAAGATAAAAAAAATGGTAAATATTATCTCCAACAGTATAATTCACGAAGACATAAAGAGAAAAAAGGTAAATATTACCTCCAACAGTATAATTCAGGAAGACATAAAGAGAAAAGGTAAATATTACCTCCAACCGTATAATTCAGGCAAACATAAAGAGAAAAAAGGTAGAACTCAAAGAAAGTTATCATTATTATTATTATGGTCGCTCTAAAAGACCTATTCCGTTGATCCCCAAGTTTCACTACCCTTCAGAAACAGTATCTTTAGTTGGTTCGTGTAATGGATTCATTTGTTTGTTGAATGATTCCATTTTTATTGAGAAACATTCAGTTTACATTTGTAATCCTTTTTTAGGTAAGTATTTCGAAATTAAGTTGCCTGAAAAGGAGATGAGTGCTAATCAAGTTACTTATGGATTTTGTTATAGCGAAGAGTATAGAGTATTGAGGTTAGTAGTTAGAGAGTACATTGTCATGTCCCACCACATCATAGTTAAATTTTGCGTCCAGACAGAGGCGGAAGGTTCTAGAGTTGTGGAGAGGTTTGCGGAGAACTCTAGAACCTTCTAGATTAATCAAGAAGGCTAGAGAATTCCTTAGAATTCTCTAGAATAACTTAGACTTTTCAAGAAAGTCTTTGAAAAATCTTAGAAAGTGTAGACTTTTCTAGAACAGGGACCAAAGTGTAAATAAGTAAGGACTTGTAAGTAACTTTTATTTACACTTTAGCCCCCTAGGAAGTAATATAAATAGAGGGGCTCTCATTTGTTAATCAACCAAGCAAGTTGTAAGCAATCTTCCAAGCATAATACAAAATCCTTCTTTAATGCACTCTTTCTTGTACATTTGTAATCCTCTTAGGTGAGTATTTCAAAGTTAAATTGCCCGAAAGGGAGATGAGTGCTAATCAAGTTACTTATGGATTTTGTTATAGTGAAGTCTCTAGAGAGTATAAAGTATTGAGGTTAGTAGTTAGAGAGCAAATTCACATATCAGAATTGAAGATTTATACTCTTGGAGTTGGTGAAAAATGGAGGAATGTGGGTGAAGTTCCATGTCCTACACGGTATAATTTTTGCCAGGTTATTGTCAATGGTGCTCTTCATTGGATTCATAACGAAGACGATGATAGAATTTACTCCTTTGATATTGAGTCAGAAATGATCAAGTCTCTACCAGCTCCGCCTGGTCTGGAAACTCCATTATGTGCCTTGAAGATATTAGAGGTGGGAAATTGTCTGTGTTTGACTTATAATAACATTAGACGGTTCGCTAAAACTGATATCCAGTTGATGAAAGAGTATGGGGTTGCTGAATCTTGGATCAAAGATACCATTTTGGTGAATTCTATTCCGCGGAATTTCCGTCAATGTAATTTAAACCCAATATTAATTTGGAAAGAAGGGCAAATCTTGATTCAGAGTTACAGAAGCCTAGATTCATACAGACCCGAGTCGAAGAGGTTCATCTAGCTTAAAGTTTACGGTGATGTCAGTGCAGCGACTAGATACATCCCAAGCTTTTACTCACTCAATACTATCATGGGGGACAACTTTCAAGTCACAAATGTTTATCCAAAGACTAAAATACTATAGAGTATTTGTTTTATCTTATTTCCTCCGTAATATATATGATGTTTTCCTTTAGTGCTTCTTATATAAACTTTTATTATTTTGTGGATGCTTTTGAATTCTGGTATATATATTGATGTCCATTTTAACATTGCTTAGTTGATTGCTTTGCAAAGTCAACAAAGCTGCATTTCTTTTATTCATTTTATAATAACACACATCAACAACTTGAATGATAAACCTACAAAAAAAGTAGAATATAGTGTAAAACTTCTATAAAACGGTAGGGTAAAAAATAAAATAAAATTATTATAAAAACCAAATGAAGAAAAAAAAGTAAAGACAAAATGAGAAGAAAAATGTTAAAGTACAGACATAATCAAACCAAATAGATCGTTAACATAAAATGAGATATTTCATCATTGCCTAATGATAAATTTAGACATAATGTACACTTAATTTGAGTAATGGTAAAAATAAACATGATATTTAAACTAAATCCATGCAATACACTTCACTCTTTTAGGAAAAGTTGCTTTTTTTTCCGAGACATTTCCACAACTCCATATCAATATTTCACTTTCTATAAAATATAGTATCAATCTCCTTACTTAATAAGGTAAGAGAAGGTATATAAAAATTTCAATGGTAAGATCTTAAAAAGGTAAAATATGGATGATATCCTATTCAAATGGCTAAATAAGGTAAATGTTAAAAGAAGTCACTTATTATTATTATTATCATTATTCTTATTATTATCATTATTATTATTTTTGACTTTGAGAAGTCATCCAAAAGAAAAATGTAAAGTAGCATTTAATTTTTTTTTTCCTTAAATAGTTTTCTAGAAGTCATCCAACTGTATCTAGTCAAGGTCTACAGTCTATATATATGAAATTTCAATTGACCAAACCCCTCAAAACTAGAAAATCATTTTGTTCAAAGGAAGTGACAACCATGGACGTCAAAAGCTCATCTTGCAAAAGAAGCAGAAACTCTCATGTCCCAAGGATGAGGATTGTGGATCTTCCTTTGATGATTTTGATCGACATTCTTTCAAGATTGTCAATTAAGTCCATTTTCCAATGTAAGACTGTGTGTAAATTTTGGTACAATGTTTTATCTTACGACCCTTTATTTGTTAAAATGTATCAAACAAGATCCCAAATATTCCCTTGCATTTATCTTATCGATGGTGTGGGCAATCCTTCGTTTCTAGAAATCAAACCAGAGTATAGTTCTTATGCTCACCATTGTAACAGACCCATTCAATTGACCCCTAAGTTTCACTACCCTCCAGGGAGCGTGTTTTTAGTTGGTTTGTGTAATGGATTTACTTGTTTCGTGAATGACTCGACGAATATTGATCAGAAACATTCTCTTTATATTGGTAATCCTCTTTTGGGTGAATATTTTGAAGTTAAATTGCCTAAATGGGAGATTACTGACTGTGGTGTTACTTATGGATTTTGTTTTAGCAAAGCGTCTGGAAAATATAAGGTATTGAGATTAGTAGTTGGAAAGCTTACTAAAGTATCAGGATTGGAAGTTTATACTCTTGGAATTGGTGAGAAATGGAGAAATGTGGGTAAAATTCCATGTCCTGCATGCTATAAGTTTGGCAAGGTTAATATCAATGGTGCTCTTCATTGGATGGATAGCGAAAAAAATGACATCATTTACTCCTTCGATATTGAGACAGAGAAGATCAAGTCCCTGCCAGCTCCACTAGGACTGGTAAATCCACCCTGGAACTTGAAGCTAGTAGAGTTGGGGAATTATTTATGTTTGACTGATTATTACAACACTAATATTGATATTTGGCGGATGAAAGAGTATGGGATTTCTGAATCTTGGACTAAAGATATCATTTTGGTGGATTCTATTCCGCGTAGTATGGTTCACTTTAATTTTGAACCGATACTTATGTGGAAAGATGGAGAAATATTAATTCAAAGTGGCACAAAGCTAGCTTTGTATGACCCAAAAATGAAGAGTTTCAGGTTGGTTTATTTTCACAGTGAGGTCATTACAGCGGTTACATACATTCCAAGCTTTTACTCACTCAAAACTGTCATGGGGGACAAATTTCAAGTTTCAAATGTTTATCCAAAGACCCGGATAGTTTAGAGTGGTTGTTTTATCTTACTTCCTCCGGGATATGATGTTTTGCTTTTGTGCTTCTGATATAAAACGTTTACTATTTTATGGATGCTTCTGAATTCTGGATAGAGAAATCTTAATAAGCTTATTACTATTTTGAATTATGAATATATTTGATGAAATTGATGGTTGTTGGAATCAGATGGTTTATGTTTTTCTTCTATGTTGTTAATATTAAGATAACTAGCATACGTTCAAGCGCAATGCGCGAATAATATTTAAAAAAAAATAAGAATTTTAAATTGTGAGTGAGTTTGAACTGGCAAATGAACCATTTATTGAACCTGAGCTCTAACTCTTCCATTTTCTTTATAATTGGTAACAACTCTTAATTAATTTTTGTGTTAATAATTTATACATCATCAATATATAGAACTTGAACTTTTTTTTCCTTTAATTTTCTAGTGAACCAACACAACTAAGACATTTACGTTATAAAGATTATGGGGAAATTTATATATCATCAGTCAAAGAATCAATCTTTAAATACGAAGAGGATTATGTATAACAAACGAAATGAAATCCAAAAAATTCTCAAATCAAACATAGATTTTAATTATGTCCAACTTTATATAAAGATATTTCACTCATGTTTCACTTTAGACTTCATTAAATGCATGCCAATTTACTTACTCTTCTTCCTTTATATAGTCCATGGCAATCAAATTCTATTATGTCCAACTATAAAGATATTTGCGAGTCCGGAGCCTAAAAGGTATAAAATATTAACAAAAATTTCAAAACGTTATATAAAATTTTATATTAACCAAAATAGTAAAATCGCTAGAACAACAGCGATTACTCCACCGGAAAAAGCAAAATCCACTGCAGCGATTTTGCAAAATGTGAAAAAAAAATTCAAATTGCTACCTAGGTAGCGATTTTCAATTTTTTGTAAAATTTTTTTAAAATATGGAAATCGCCGCCTAGGCTGCGATTTTAAAAAAATGGATATCGCCGCCTAGGCAGCGATTTTATAAAAAAAAAATTAAATGAAAATCGCTTTCTAGGCAGCGATTTTCTTTTTTAAAAAAATTCATTATTTGAATTTAGAATTCTATTTGAACTCAAACATCATTTAACTTTAAATTCAATATAATATCTTTTTTTAGTAAGAAAATATTTTTGTTACCTTACATATTCTTAATTTATTTTAAATAATGCATATTTTCTTATAAGCTATATATTTAAATTTCAAAAAAATATTTGAAAATCAATGAAATTTGTTTTTCCTACGATTTTCTTAAAAGAATTTTTTTTTTGAAAAAAAATGTTTTTTTTTGAAAATTTTTTAAATTTTTTTTATTTTAGGGCGATTTTCATTAAAAAATTTTATAAAATCGCTGCCTAGGCAACAATTTCCATATTTAATTTGATTTTTTTATGAAATCGCTGCAGTGGAAGCGATTTTGCTTTTTCCGGTAGAGTAAATCGCTGTTGTTCCAGCGATTTTGCCGTTTTGGTTAATATAAAATTTTATATACCATTTTGAAATTTTCGTTAATATTTTATACCTTTTAGGCTCCGGATTCAGATATTTCACCTCAGCCACTGGATACCTGGTACCTTCCATCAACACAAGTACCACGTAACTCTGCTTCCACATTAAGGCGGCTGCCTAAAACCTCTTTTCAAAGCTTGGTTTCTCCTCCTCTTCTTCTCCCCGTCTTCCTCTTCCAATTACTTTTTTCTCTAACGTTTGGTAAATTCTGTAAAGCTACATTGATTTGTGTTAATTTCATAAATTTTGCACAACTTCAACTGACTTATAGCCATTTCTTTGTTTTAGGCTAAATGATGAAAATATTCTTTATTTTGGGCTATTATATTCTCCCCCTACTTAAATAGCATTTGAGGAATTGGACACCAACTTTAGTGGTCATTTGGACGAGTAATTGCCTGTGACAGAGTTCAGAGTTCGCTTATGATAACACTTATTAGTCTAGTATGCAGATGGTGTTTTATGAGGCTTCACATGGACGACAATGTAACACCCCAGAAAAAATTTTCTAACTAAGACTTGTCTCGTTAATTGTAGTGAGTGAGATTTCACTAAGGAATTAAAAATTTCTTAAGTATTAAGGTCAGTTACAAGATTTAGCATCGTGAGTTTCAAAAAAAATTTAATTGGAAATAACAAAAATTTGAAATTTGGAGAGTAAAGTAAAGTATGAATTTTGGATCAATTTCAAACGACCATAATTCCTAGCACGGGATGAGTTAGGTGTGCTAAAAGATACCATAAGAAAGATATTTTAATTACCTTTCCAACTCCGTTGAGTTCGCTAAATTTTGAGTTCGGATGAGTGAGATATGACCTTTTGAAGTTAGGTTTTCCAGTTAAGGAAAGTTAACCGAAAATAGTGAGCGGTATTTTCGTTCATTCCTTACCCAATCAGGTTTAATACCTTTTAAGTATTATTTTAAGGATCTAATCCTTTTAGATTCAGTTTTAAAATCCTAATATACACCTAGGGTTTTAGTTTAAAGTTCATGAAAAGGCAAAAAGAGAAAAGAAGAGAAAAGATGAAAGGATGAAGGTGTTCATCGACGTTCTTGAGTTTAGTTGTGGATTTTCGCCATGGGTTTAATCCCCTAAGAGATATATAAGCTTCTACAGTGTTGGGTTAGTTCACCCACATGCCAATCATGTTAATTTTCAGTGTCTTATCCAAAAAGGAAAAATATTTTATATTTTTGTAAAGTTTTCTACTTTTTAGAGTTGCCACTTAATTTTTGAGAAGAATCAAGAAAACTGAATTTTCAAAAACTTAACAGAAAAATCATTTGAAAACTTTAAAGAGGTTTGGGGATTCTTATTAACGTCTTAGGAAGGTTCAAAAACACCTAAGACGCCCGCTAATTTGCAGTTATCCAACAACTAACTATTTGGCTAAGGCTTACAATTGCGATAAAAATATTCTTTAGATTTGTTTGAAAAATGAAAGCCAAAAATCATTTAAGATTGTTTTTTGAAAGTGAAAATTTATTTATCTAAGTGAATTTTAATTTGTAAAACCCTTAAGCCATTTATTTGATTTGATCGATTCGTTAAAACCAAAGTGGCGTTTTGCGGGGAATGGGATTTTCCTAACCTTTAGAACTAACGACAAGTAAAAAAGATAAGTAATAAAAGCAAGTAAAGAGCGAGAGAGATTTGGATTCAAATCCGAGTTTTCTGTTCGTCTTGACAGGTATTTGGACCCACCTTTCTTTGGAATTTTGACTCATTTATCTTTTGTACCTATCCTAGACTAAACATACAAAAATAATAAATAATCATTCAGAAAATAAAGAGACAAGGGCTTAGGCCCCAAAATTACAAAACGATAAAAATGAAAAACGCAAAATAACAGAGGGGGTTAAGTCTTCAAACACTCCCAATTCGATTCGAGTTTTCTCCACTTCAAGATTTTGTACGCCTCATTCCACGAATCACTCGACTCGATGGAAGGAAGCAAGTTGGGTGCCCATGGTCCAAACATTCACATGCAAATCCAAAGGGTACATAATTAAAATAGGTAAAACTCACCATATATCAAAGAATAAGCTGAAGCGATGGGATATCCTAAATGTAAATATTAATAACATGCTGGATAATTTTGATAAAATCTTTATAACACTAAATTTTAATAATATGCAATTAACACATCATCCACAGTTTCTAAGGACAAAGGAGGTACGATATTCAGAACATGCATGATAAGATTCTCATTATTTTCTTTTCAAAAATGCAAGATATATGAACAAGGAAAACCTAACACATAACAAACTAAATAAAGAACATGCATGATAAGATTCTCATTATTTTGAAGTATTTACTGCTTTTAATTTATGTAACTACTTGTTTTTTATGATTAATTCAACAACTTTACTCTTCTGATCTTGTTTAATATGAGAACTTGAATTCATTGCACCTCTCTAATTATTAATCAATACAAATTAGCTTATTGTATTAAAGGAATAAGACCCTTATGGATACATCCTATATCATTAATTAATAAAAATTCTTGCGAAATATAAAATATTAGGTCATTTCTTTTCATGTGTCAAAATCTTAATTATTGAATAGAGTTATTACGGTATTTGTGTAGGTGAGACGTGCAGGTACCCCATGACCCATGAAATTACTCAATGTATCACGTCAAAAGTTGAAATGAACACCACGATCATAATAAAAATAAAAGTCTACATGATACATTTTTACTCACCAACTAAACACCGTAGAAAGGTTTACCAAGAAAATATATGGATACATTGTTTAGTGTATACAATGAACAATTATGACATTCTTTTTTTTACCCTTTCTAAAAGTTTCCACATTTTTATTCTCCTAATTACTCAAACTCGTTATTTTAATATTATAGTTGGCGGGTGCAAGACTTACTACCTGAGCAACCCTCTCTTAGTCGTCTGGCTAAATTGAAGAAGAAGACAAAATAATAAAAAGATATAAAAATAACACTACACACACATTTAAGATGTTAAATATCAAGTTATAAACAAACTTTTTAATAATAAACTACTTATAACATATTATTATCAAGTTATAGCATATCAAGAAATAATATATTATTCTCATTAATTTTTTAAAATAATAATTAACTTATTTAAATAATTTAATTACCATATTTAAACCAATGTAGTTAATTACACTTATTATTTTAAGTTACCTTTTTTAAACAAAACTCTTAATTAAAGTAATTCAAATTAAATATTATTTAGTTACCTTTTTTAAGATAACTACAAAATTATAGGGATTTTATCAAAATCTAAAACAATTACAGTTTTATGTTTAAAAAACTGTAAAACGTTATCTTAAAAAAAAATTATATTCCCCAAATTTTTGTTCTTCCCCATCACTTTTCAAAATCATTAGATCTGCACACCTATCAAAACTTTTCACCATTTTCACACGCTTAAACTTTTCTCCATTTTCGCACGACTAACTTTTCACTATTTTCTTCTCTCTTAACAGTCTTCTTCAAGATTTCTCAAATAGTTGCATTCACATCTTCATTTTTAGCACTCAAATCTTCAAATCTTGCAATAGACAAACCACACAATGTCTAAAAGAGGCAACGAAACCCCGAGAAAAAGTAGAAGATTGAATGAAGAAGCAAGTTCAGACGATTTCCATGCTCCATCTTTCAAAATTTTATCACAAACACAATCTCAACCTTCATATGTTAAAGTTAAATCTAGATCAGTGAAATCAACAACAGGAAAAAAAACAAACAAACATCCAAAGGAAAATGAGAAGAAGAGAAAAGGGAAAGAAAAGAAAAAAGAAGATGAATCTGAGAAAACGACGAAAGAAAGAGGAATGAAAAGGAAAGGAAAAGAAATCGAGGAATCATCAGAGTCTGAATCTGATTTTGTGGAAGAATTGATAAAATCAAAATCCAAAAAACCAAGAGCATCTGGAATCGATACTTCACATTTACAAGAAGAAGAAGAAACAGTTAAACCCAAAAAAAGTTCAAAGGTTAGTAAAAGTTAATTTTTTAATTTTTTTATGTTCTGTTATTTTTATTTTCTGTTATTTGGGTATAAAATAGTTAAAATACAATTTTTGTGAAAAATAAATAATGTATGAATTGTGTATGATTCCATGTATGAAATTTCTGTTTAAATAAATAATGTATTTTTTATGTATGATTCACTGTATGAATTGTGTATGATAACTGTATGAATTTTGTATGACTCACTGTATGATTCACTATATATATAAAATGTGTATGAATTTTTTTTATCAAGTTTTTGGGTACTGTTTACTAGTAATATCCATAATTAGTTATACTTTATATTTTGAGTTGTATTTTTTGGTGTTCAATATATTGTGTATGAAAGAATGTTGTAAGTTTGTTTGAAATGTGTATGATTATATTGTATTATGTTTTGTATACTATGTGTATGAATTATGTATTATGTTTTGTATACTATGTGTATGAATATGTGTATGATTAATGTATTTAATTTTTACAGTTTTTTTAGGAGAAGAAGACACAAACACATCTGTCTTCATGTATTAACATGAATGTGTTTGCGGATTTGTTGACATTTTTAGGTCAAGATAAGTTTCAACAATTCCTAGATGAAACACCTTTTGGATTTTTTTATAATTTGCATCACATTAAAATTCAATGTCAATTGTTGAGACACTTATTTATGATGGGAGGATCTGTTTATTCAAGGAAAGTCAAAGAAGCCATTGATAAGTTTGCAACCATGGTTTCTTTATTTCTGACGAGCACAGGGTTTTATGGCAAAAGGCTTGATTTGTATGCATATAATCTCCCTGATTATCAATAGAAGTCTCACTCTAAACCTCTAAGCATCAAGAATGTTACACATGTTCCTCAACAAGAAGAAAGTTCAAAGTATGTATATTTCTTACATTATTTTTTATTCATTTTAAATTGAAATTGCTATATATTCATAACTAATTTTTTTTTCAATTTGATTACAGTGATTGTGGTTTATACACATCTCTATTTGCCGAATACATGAGCAGTGGTGTTTTTGATATGTCACATATTGATATTGATTCAACATATCATCGTCAAAGATATGCTACATTACTTTGGCATTATGGAAAATCAAAGAATGATGAAGGCGCTATCAGTGAAAGTGAAGTTACAGGAACAGTTGCTAGCAAGAAGGGTGGACCTCGAACTCATAAAGAACAAGTTATGGACACCACCAATTATCCTACTCCAAAATTTCGTATCAGGAAGTAGAAATCTTCATGGCACATAGTACCTTCTTTTTTTTTTTAACTTATGAACAATTTATGTATTTTCCCAGTTTTTTTATTATGAATACTCTGATGGTTTTATATAAATTATTACAGATTATTACTAAATGTGTCTCAATTTAACATATATGAACACTGTATGAATCATGTATGAAAATCATATGAATTATGAATGTCATATGAAAATTTGATATATAGTACATAGTAATGTTGAAATTTGTTTTGCTTGAATACTATATACTTTCAAAATACAAACAGAAACATATATTAATTATATTACTGGTATGAATACTGTATGAAAAATGTATGAATTATATCATACAATTATACATTAATAAATGTGTATCACCATCTTGCATACATTATTCATACCAGTAATATACATACAATTTGTTTCTGTTTGTATTTTTATTATGACTACTGATGGTTTTATATAAATTATTACTGATTATTACTAAATGTGTATCAATTTAACATATATGAAACTGTATGAATCATGTAGGAAAATCAAATGAATTATGAATGTCATATTAAAATTTGATATATAGTACATAGTAATGTTAAATTATTCCATAAATTTGTTTTGCATGAATACTATACACTTTCAAATACAAACAGAAACAGATATTAATTATATTACAGGTATGAATACTGTATGAAAAAATATATGAATTATGACAAATTATAAAATATATTTTTCAAAATACAAACAGAACAAATTTATGTATATTACTGGTATGAATAATGTATGAAAACTGTATGAATATTGTATGACATTTGTATGAATAGTAATATTATTCAATAAAAATACATTTTATAACAATGTAATGCCTCAAAAACACAGATTTAACATTACGACATCATTGTTTTTGTACAGGATAATTTGAACAAGTCTTCCTATTGTGTCCAACCTGATGGCATCTACTGCATGTGCTTTTTGTCTTCCTATTGTGTCCAACCTGATGGCATCACATCGACGTATTTCCCTGTTTCACAACATTAAAATTACATTCAGTGCATCCCATAATAAAATTAAAAATATATTCGTACATAATTAACACACATTTCATACACAATTTATATACAAGTCACTGTTTACCACACAATTCATACACTTCGCACAAAAATAATACACACTTCATACAAAATTAATACACAAATCATACACTTTTTACCACACATTTCATACAGTTTGTACAAAAAATAATACACACTTTATACATATTTTAATACACAAATTACCACACTGTTTATACACTATTTTAATTAATACACAATTAATACATTGTTTACTACAAAAATCAATACACAAATCACACAAAATTATATACAAGTCACTTATATATACAATAACAGAATTTTAAATTAATACAAAATTAAAACAATTTTTATACATACTGCATACTACACAACTAAATACTACATACAATCTAAAATATAATTTCATACTCAATTTATCCAATTTAATATAAAAAATAATATACAGTTAATTCATTTTTTATACAGAATTTATATATATATATTACAAATCAATAATAGCTACGTACAACTATAAACATTGATTTTCGTATATATTGTTCATACACTATTTATATACATTAGAATACAAAATGTATACATTATTAATACAAAATGTCAGATATTTGTTCTAATGTTTCAAAAACAAAAAAATTGCTAAATTTATCAAAAACTTTAAAATTTTAAATTTTAACCAGTAATCACATTTACCATCATTCTTCGTTTTAATTACACATGAAAATGCATTTAATATTACGAAATTTTTATTAGTAGAAACACTGAATTAATGTTTCAAAAAAAAATTATATCAATTTAACATATGCAATATAACAAGGGAAAAAAAATAAAACATTACGAAAATATTAAAAAAACTAACCTGATGAATTCCATTTGCCACCATGTTTAATTAAAATTGACACAATTTTCTCCATCAAATCAAATATAAACCTTTTCAACCTTCAATTTTAATTGTTTTTTCAAAAAAAAAACGATACAATATGACAGAATTCGAATATAAGAATATAGTCCAATTTCTGGAAAAAAAATGAAACACGTTTATGAAAAGATAGATAACAGAATAGAATTTTTTTAGCATAAAAAATCAATAAAAATTACCATTAAAAACTGATTGAGATAATTAAGGAGCATATCTATAATTAATATATTTTAAATTCCCTTAAAAAGTGCACATTTGGTTATCAGTTAAAAACAGTAACTACATTCACAGATTATCCAATTTTAATTACTCATCTTTAAATTCTTTTTTTCTTTCTAATTTAACTGAATAAATATTTACAATATTTTTAATTAAAAGAAATGTTATAAGTTGATATATTATATGTTATATAATGAAAATCAAAATCTTGTGTCATAACTTGAGAATATGACTACATAATATGCTATATACCTAATTTACACTAAAAAGATCCCAAATTGCCTTTAACTTTCTTTGTTTTGGGCCACAACATTACAGGCCCAAATTTTATTATATTTTTTCTGCTCAAATTTTATAGCATCAAATAAAAAACAGATTTTTATATTTGTGACTGATATTTTCATTTAATATCTTTTCTTATCCCTCTATTCAGTAGCCTTTAGCTAAAAAAAAAACAAAAAAATGAGTTGTTCTTTGAATCATTTACCTGCAATTACTTTGAAAAATGGTTCAGTAAATAGAATTTCTAAAAGGGTTTCTTGTTCTATGTTGAACACAAGAGCTATGGCTAAAGAACTGTACTTTAATCATGATGGTTCTACAACAAAGAAGCTTTTGGTCATTATGGGTTTTTTTTTCTTTATTTTCTTGAATTTTTGCTAATTTTTTTTTTTTAATTTAAAGATTTTGATTTGGATTGAAATTTTGTCCAGGCAGGTGTCGATTTGGTGGCAGAGCTGGTTGGTGTAACTTTGGGTCCAAAAGGAAGAAATGTAGTTCTTGGAAATAAGTATGGTCCTCCAAAGATTGTTAATGATGGTGAAACTGTTCTAAAAGAGGTAAGGTACATTACAACTTACAAGCATTGTTTATGAGTATGCACGTGTAGATACCTCAACTCGTACCCATTGTGTCAGTTGAACACTTCAACTTACAAAATAATTGTCTAGACACATCCAAAATTTATGTTACACGTCAGCATTGGGTATTCACGAGATATAGTGGGGGGTTGAGGGTGAGTTGGATCGTTTAGTTGTCAGTTGAGACCAAGTTCAGGTGTCTATAAACAAAATTAGAGTGCTTACTTGTCAGCTGAGACTAAGTATGCGTGTTGATTTATATTGGAATTCATGTGACTTAGGAATATGTAAATGAATAGGTATTTCAATGTCATCAAGTTACAGAATAGCAAAACACATTTGTTGATTTCGTTGGACTAGTGGTGCTTCATGTTCTTACAAGTTGTTTTCACTACAGATTCAGCTGGACGATCCTCTGGAATATGTGGGAGTAAAGTTGGTTAGAGAAGCTGGTGCCAAGACTAATAATCTTGCTGGTGATGGTTGCACAACATCTATAGTGCTTGCTCGAGGTCTGATTGCTGAAGGTGTCAAGGTTTGAATAGAACGAATAACATAATCTGCTTTCGTATTTTAGTTATATCTGGTGATTCGTTAGTATCTTTGTCTAGGTTACTGCAATGGGCGCAAATGTTGTCCAAGTGTCTCGTGGAATTGAGAAAACTGCTAAAGCCCTCATTTCTGAGCTCAAGTTGATGTCCAGAGAGGTAATAACGACAACTTGCTTTCCCCTTTTAAATTACTTTTGTACATTAGACGGAGAGACATAAGCGTTTGGTCAAGTTGATGTATGAAGTTTGTGCTATCTTCAACATGCCTTTTGACATTCATCGAACCTGCAGGTTGAGGATCACGAGCTGGAAGATGTTGCGGCTGTTAGTGCTGGCAATGACTATGCCATCGGGAACATGATCTCGGAAGCTCTTAGACAGGTCGGAAGAGAAGGAGTTGTCACAATTGAGAAAGGCAACTCTACTAAAACCAATCTAGAAGTTGTCGAAGGAATGCAGTTTGATCGTGGCTATTTGTCACCTTATTTTGTAACTGATCGACGAAAGAGGATTGCCGAGCTTCACGATTGTAAGGTTAGAGACTTCTTATGTTAAAGCACTAGCGCTCTGTTGTATATCAGGTGTTTATAGTGCATACATTTTCTTATGTTGCAGTTGCTTTTGGTCGATAAAAAAATTTCAAACCCGAAGGAGTTGGTTAAAATTTTGGACAATGCAGTAAAGGAGAAATACCCGGTTTTGATAATCGCAGAGGGCATTGAACAAGACGCTCTGGCTCCAGTGATTAGGAACAAGCTCAGGGGTGTCCTAAAGGTAGCTGCAATAAAAGCTCCATCTTTCGGGGAGCGCAAGAGTCATTACTTAGATGACATCGCTATCTTGACTGGAGGTAGTGACATATGCAAAGCAGAAATCGTTTAGTTTCTTATAGATCTATCACCTCATTTCATTTAGTCTCAATGTCTCTGCAGGAACTGTGATCAGAGATGACATAGGGTTGACTCTCGAAAATGCCCACAAGGACTTGTTGGGCAGTGCTTCAAAGGTGGTGATTACGAAAGACTCTACACTGATAGTTACTGATGGAAATACTCAAACAGCTGTTTCAAAGAGAGTTTCACAGATACAAAATCTTGTTGAGGTGTGTTATTATGGTTACATCTGATAGATTCGCAAGTCTTGTGGACGGACTTAGAAGTAGTGTTAGAGCTAACACACACATAAATATCTCATCAGTTTGATTTTTGCAGAACACAGAAGAAAAATTCCAAAAGAAAATCTTGAACGAAAGAATTGCAAGATTATCCGGTGGTATTGCCGTCATTCAGGTAACAAAAGATCTGTCCCCGCGTCTTGTCAATCAATATTACAAAATATGTTTGATACCCACGGTGTATTTGATTGTATAAGTTGTAGGTGGGAGCACAAACACAGGTTGAGTTGAAAGATAAACAACTACGGATTGAGGATGCGCTCAATGCAGCACGGGTAATTTACCTATTCTCCCACCACTTAAACGCCATGGCTGATTATACGTGATCCATTATGATTATATTCTTCTGTTTGTCATTGAAGTATCAGACACAAGCATAGCCACTTGTCATCCGATTACTTTATAGAATAACTTTTAATAGCGTAAAGTCTCATTCCTAGGATCAATTCTGGGGGTGCTATCAAATATTTCTCAAGCTTTTTTTACTTTGCCTGCTCAGGCTGCTAGTGAGGAAGGAGTCGTAGTGGGCGGTGGCTGTTGTCTGCTGAGACTATCATCAAAGGTGGATGCTATCAAAGAAACGCTAGACAATGAGGATCAGAAGGTTAATAATCTAGATTGTTCTTATTCAGTTCTCAGTTTCTTGAACTGGTTGTTTTACATTAAGAGTATTGGGTATTCGTGTTTTTCTCCAACTGGTGTTGCTTTTGCATATCTGTTCTCCGGACTGACAGTTCCCTCGAATTATTCACAGATAGGAGCTGATATTTTCAAAAGAGCACTATCCTATCCGGCAAAACAGATAGCAAAGAATGCTGGTGTAAATGGGAGCATTGTTGTAGAGAAGGTACCTCTGAATGTTTCGTCTTTGTTACAGCCAACTAAAGTTTGTTAAACTCAAAACTGGAATACGTTATCTGGTGGTTGACTTGAATTTTTAACACAATTGCAGATATTGTCAGTTGATGACATGAAATATGGATATAATGCTGCAAGAGACAGATATGAAGATTTGATGGCTGCCAAAATTTTAGATCCTACAAAGGCAAGATACTATATCTCTTAGTATGGTAGGTGAAGGAATCAAACATCTTAACTGATACTACAAAACATAACTCTATTTTCCAACACATATTCCTCGACTCCTCTATTTATCGATGGTTAACAAGTCTGATTACGTTAGTGCACCATAAACTTCCTTGAAATCGTGAAACAGGTTGTTAGATGTTGCGTGGAGCATGCAGCAGCAGTTGCCAAGACGTTCCTGATATCAGATGCTGTTGTCATTGACATCCCCGGACCAGTATCTAGACAAATAAGACCACCAACACCACCACCGCCGCCAATGCCAACTTTAGGGACTCCTCGTCCTACCAACAACTATAGTAAGTACATTGTCTATAACTCTCCCCATGTCTCTGTATTTGGTCTGATATTTAACTCCCAAAATCCAATGTTCCTATAGCGTAAATGATTTGTAGGTTCAAGGCTGTCTGGTCTATCAGGTCTAAAGGCAACTGGTCTTTAATTCAGAGATGAAAGGAGAGATAAAAGCTAATTATCTTGCTGGGAGCTAAAGAAGGTACTAGCTACTACTAGCTCATCGTAACGATGCCAACTTCTAACAATATCTTCCATGATTGATGACGAAAACCTCTACCATGAAGAAGTTTGATCATTTTCACCATTAAGTAACAGATTCGAGTTTCTCATATCTCCAAAGAGAACAATACCGGATCATCAAACAACAGGATTACTTGCTAGCTAGTAGCAGTATGTACATGTTAGATGTTTTGCTTAAAGCTCAGAAAATGCATTTTGAACAAATGTATATATACAAAATGATCTTCTTATGCCAGCAATGTAATTTAACTTGTTATAGCAAGTTATTGCTGTGTCATTTGCTATCGATTAATATTATTGTTATAAATAGAATCATTTGCAGTTACTTGATTTTGCGTGAATAATTCATACATGCACAAAATATACAAATAATTACCTTACTCATAAGTCAATAAAATACAAAAATAAAATTAAAAAAATGTCACCTATTTTTTGTTCTTTCTTCTAGAATAAACCATACCTCGGATCCCATCCGGGTCAGCAACAAAACCCAAAGGCCTATAGAACCCGAGAACTCGGGGCTCCGAATAAAGAGCAATATTCGTAATCCCTTTGCGTAACAGTTTGGTGACTAATCTCTCCATCACAGCTTTCCCCAATCCAATCCCTTGGAAATTCGGATCCACCACAACATCCCAAATAATCGCATTGAATACGCCATCGCCGGTGGCTCTGGCGAAGGCTACCGGCCGTTTTGTTTTCTCGTATTGGATCCATAAAAGTGAATCGGTGTTCTCTAATGCGATTTGGATTTTCTCCGTGTCGCGTCGGGGAAATCCGACGGCTACAAAGACGGAGTTGAGGTGGTCGAGGTTGAGATCGGTGATTGTACTGTGGAGATTGAATCCTTTTGAACGGAGAGATTCATCGGAGATTGAGAGGTTTGTGGTGGTGAACGGAATGGGAATGGGTTGGATTTGAGAGAAAACGGTGAGGTTACGGTGGTGGACGGTGGGTTTGAGGGTGAAGGGGGTGGAGATGGGGTTAAAGTGAAGCAGCATTGTTCATGGTGAAAGGTAGGAGGAGAAAGAGGGGTATAGAGAGATGAAAATGATGAGTTTACATAGATAGGATTTTTGTGTGGTTCTCAAGTGTTGCATACTCTTTCATTACATACTTTTTCATTCTTAAAATGAAAATGTAGATTTTGAGTCTTTGAAAATAAAATAATCTTTTGTTTTAAGAGCATCTTTAATAACTAATTCTAACTCGATTATTTATTTTAATCTCTAATTAATATTTTTTTTCTTTAATAGTATATTATTATTTTTTATTTTCTTATTTTATAATATAAATTATTTCTTCTTTTCGCAAATAATTACCTTATAATTTTGTGTAATATAAATTTTATTTTTTTTAATTTTTCAGTAAATATAAAATTATATTTTATTCTAAATTTCTAAATAAAATAAATTACAACAAAAATATTATGTATAATACATAGACTAACAAACAATTCAAACAAAAGTGAAATCATTGATAAATACAATTACATAATAAATAATGCATTATTGTAAAATTTAATTTTATATTTTACATAAATATTTGACCTTCAAGACTATTATGTTGCTCCCATAATGCTTTATTAATGCATTACGGAGTTCAAAATCAGTAACTTTTTGTCCTTTTTTATGTATGGCTAAAAATTGTTTAAATTATCAATTTCATCTTATATTCAATTATTTCGTGTACTAATTTACTTTCCTTATTCCATTTTGAACTATTGCAAAAAGTATTTTCATGCTCATTAAAAAGTGTAGTTTAATAATTTATCACTATAACATAAAAGTAGATTGTTTGAATTATTATGCAAATTTTGTGTATTCTTCACAGTGAAAAGTAATCATAATTTTAAATTAAATATTTTCGAATGACAATTTTTTAAAAAAAATTGTTAATTCGTGAAGAAAATAGTATACTTATCAATAGTATGTTTTTTAGATGTTATATTACTTAGATAATAATTCAACTATTAAAAACTTAATCAATACTCTCATATAATATAAATAATATATTAAAATAATTTGAAATTACATATTTTAAGTGACTATTTTTTAGAAAAAAAAATAAAAAATTATTAATTTGGATAAAATAGTAACTAGTCAATAATATGTTTTTTAATGTTATATTATTTTAGGCAATTAACTACAAATAATTATACTTAATTAATGATACAACATAAATAATATTAAAATAACTAAAAAGTGAAATAGAGAGGTGTGGAGAACTATCATTCACTTCTCTATAAATAGAGGATAGAGAGTAAAACGAAGAGGGGTTGGAGAGTTCATTCTCTAATTTAGAGTCAATTCTCTAAATGGTCATCCAAGTTAAGAGAATTGCCTTGAAATATCATTTATGTTTCATTTAGGATCAAAATATCATTCAACTATCACTATTTTCCTCCAAATATACTTGACACTTCAAAATCATCATTCTCTCCTAGTTGGCATGACATGTCATTAAAGTCTTTTTTTTAATAATAGACTAATTTAATTCATTAAACTCATTTAACTAAAATGATGGTCATATTATATTTTATAATTTTTGTATTAGTTTATTAAGAATAAATTTTCATACTTGAAATCTTTTATCATAATCAAACTTTTTATTTTTTTATGTTATGCAGAATACGTTTTTAAAACGTGCCATAATCTCATCAATTTTGAATATTTAGAAAAAAAAATATTGATATACAAATCATTTATGAACGCTAATTTACATCAATTGATCATAAGTTATATAATAAATCAATAATGTTAAAGGTCGATTAACTATCACAATAATACTAATTGTGTATTTTGCAATTCATGCTTCCCATATTATTATTTTTTTGAAGAAAAAAGAAATTGAATAATATTATATTTTTTATCTATTAGAAATACTAAATACCTCAAAAGTCCCCTTAAATTCTAGTTGATATGCTCTGTCATTAAAACATCATTTAAAAAAATAATAGACCTATTTAATTCATCAAACTTATGTCTCTACAAAATAAATATATAAATTACATGAGAATTTATGAAGATTATAAGATTAATAATTTAAAAAGTCTAGTAACTTTATATATTATCACCAAACAAAATTCAATGAAAATATCTCTGTTTGCACTTATTACCTCATAATTCTAAAGTTCCTAACTAAATTACTGGAAAATGTTAAGCAATTTGCTTTATAAAAGTATTTAAATAAATTTTTAAGGTTGACAAAAAAAAATTGATAAGAAAGAGAAAATTGTTATTTAACTTTTTAATTTTATTTTTATTTTTGTTTTTTTATCCTATATTATATTATATTATATTATAACTTTTCTTACAACTAAACATCAACAAATAAACAAATAATTAATTGAATTTTCTAACTTAATTCAATAATAATACATATTTATGAGATTAATATACTGATAAATAAAGATTAAAATTTTATTTTTTATAAAATATTATTCACTTGCTATTTTCTTTTTAAAAAAAGATATTGTAAGTATATATAGATTTTAAAGCACCAAAATAATTATTTTTTGAAATAATTAATGACCTTTAATATTATTGATTTATTATATAACTTATGATTAATTGATGTAAACTAGCGTTCATGAATGATTTGTATATCAATATTTTTTTGAATGTATATGTCTATAAGTATCCAAAATTGATGAGATTGTAGTACATTTTTAATATGTATTCTTCATAACATAAAAAAAAAAGTTTAATCATGATAAAAAAAATTTAAGTATGAAAATTTATTCTTAATAAATTAATTAAAAAAATTAAAAATAATATGATCACTATTTTAGTTAAATGAATGTAATGAATTAAATTAGTCTATTATTAAAAAAGACTTTAATGACATGTTATGTCAACTAGGAGAGAGTGATGCTTTTAAAATGTCAAGTATATTTTGAGGAAAATGGTGATAGTTGGGTGATATTTTGGTCATAAATAAAACATAAATGACATTTCAAGGCAATTCCCTTAGCCTGGTGACCATTTAGGGAATTGACTCTCTATTTTACTCTATAAATATAGAGAATAGAGAGTAAAATAGAGGTGAGTTAGAGATGGTCTTAAAATGAAGATGTTGAATTTGAGTGTCCAGAATGAAATCATTTTTTATAGAAAATACATACTATTTTCAAGATGATCGTAGTTTGGATACTTTTTTTATTTGATATTCAGAACTTATATGAAGTCTGATTAATTTAATTTCGTGCATTGTGAAACTAATTTTTTGGAACTATACTTTTACATTCAAATTTTTTTTTATATATATTTTAAGATTTAAATTTAAAATTTCTAATTAAGAGCGGAGAAATTTGTGTGTGTATTGGTGTTTGAGTATTTTATCATCAACCTACCCAACCACTAACGTGAAGGTTTGTTGCCCAGACAAGGACTTTTTCCAAATTATATCTGAATAAAAACTAGATACAGGAACCCATTGTATTTAACAACATTTATATTTTGTAAAAAGTAAAATATGAAAGAATATTCTAGATGAAATGACATATGCTTAACTTGATATTCGAGTTAATTACTGTATAAATTTGGGATTCCAAATGAGGAAAAATTGATTGGATTATTGGAATATTACTGTATTTTATCCTAAATTATATTTTTTTTATTTTTAACCTTAACCTATTTAAGAAATAATTAACACATACACATTAGAGTTCGATTAAATTTGAATTCGAGTCAAAAAATCTTATATTGGGGGTAAAGCGCTTTTTTTGTTCCCAACAAATGGAACTCCAGGAATTTGAACTCCTCAACTTAAACCCGAAACCTCTTAATTAAAAATTAAAAAATATACACCACTTAACTGCAACTCTTGTAGCTTACTATCTAATAAATTAATATCATAAATTTACATAAATTAGTTCGATACAATAATTTATTTGTAATCGCTATAACTAATCGAGATAACATAACAACTAAGTATTTTAACTATATATAAATAATATTTTATTTTTACTAAAAGAAATGTTAAAAGAAAAAAATCATGAAGCCTTGATCTATTTGATATTATGAGTAAATTTCTTTCATATTAGTATAAGAATTAAAGAATCATTCCAATCATGACATTATTTTACTACAGAAAAATACAAAATTTTAGGATATTATTATTTCATGACAAAAAATGTGAGAGATGAAATTATCATATTAAATATTCATGATCTAATATAAATGGTGATAAAGTATTTAATAAATTTAAATTTTAATATAAATCTTGACAGTCGGAATCTATTTTGTCGAAATATTCTGT